CCTGGAGGACATTATGCTGAGTGAAATAAGTCAATTGCAGAAGGACAAGTATTGTATGAGCCCATTACTGTAAAAAGACAGAGAAGGGTTTGCTTAGGAAAGGGAACTCACCTAGTAGGTTACCGGGATGGGGAGGGAATGGAAGGGATTAATTTAGAGCTAGTGGGGGCCTACATGCTGACATGAGTAGGGGGAGGGATATATGGGAAGGATATATGACCACCATGATAACATTGGGAAATGAGAGGATACCGAACTGCGCATGTAAGAGATAGATGATAGATGCTAAAACCAACCAATGTGTCCACAACACCACATTGCCATTAACACCAAACACTAAGCTATACAGATAAACACATAAACACCTGAGATGATCAGACAGGGGTCAGTGAACAGAGGTATGCTCTTGACCAAGGATAGATTCAGCTGAGGCTAATCTTGTACAGACACCAGTGATACATAATACCTGCAGTCCTTACAGAAACAATAGATAGAAGACAGACACAGAGTAATCCCTCACAGACATCCCGACACTATGGGAGAGAGATCCAATAGATCTACTACCTCAGGACCATAGTACTGGGGGACACCAGACTCAATTGGCACAACAAAATACATAAAAGCGTTTCTCCACATCCTACATTGGTGAGTAATGACTGGGGTCTTAAAAGCTTTCAAGCAGCCATCTAAGATGCAGCTAATGGTCTCCTAGCATCGGAAGTAAAGAAGAATGCAAAAAAAAAAAAAAAAAGGCATTTAGAAGCAATCAGCTCCAGGACACAATGGCCCTTGAGACCAGAAGAACTGGATGGTGCCCGGCTACCAAATGCCAACCACTCAGGAAAGGATCAAATCTGGAGATCCTGGATAGAGTGGGAAGGAAAACATGGAACAAAATCCAAAAAGCTCAATAATGACCAGAATTACTGGTCACATGAAATCTGGTGAGACTCCCAATACTATGGCCCTGGAATAAATTCGGTGCCTGGAATAAAACTCACCCCAGGGGTGGGCTCGCAGCCCAATAGTTAACAAGATGTACACGCAGACCACTCAACCCAGGATGCCGCATCTAACATACTCTATGGTAATACATCTCATAGAGCAATAGACCATGGGACACCAGAGAACCAACATTCAAACTGAGGAAATGCAGGACAAACAGGAGTGCATAATTATGAGGAATACAGGGGGAGGGTTGCAGGGTAGGGAGGGGAGGAGACTGGGTTAGGGTTGGACATGACGAATGGGGAATGAAACTAAATGTATGCATTACGTTGAATGTAAAACAAGTGCTTAAAATAAAAATAAAAAAAAAAAATGTTGAAGAGCAAAGATGTCACTTGAAGACTAAGGTGTGCCTAACGCAAGCCATGATATTTTCAGTCACCTCATATGCATGTAAAAGCTGACCAATGAATGAGGAAGACCAAAGAAGAGTTGATGTTTTGAGTTGTGGTATTGGTGAATACTCAAAGTACCATGGACTTCCAGAAGAAGGAGCAAATGTGCCCTGGAAGAAGTTCAGCTGGAATGCTCCTTAGAAGCAAGAATGGCCAAACTTAGTCTCATTTACTTTGGTCTTATTGTCAGAAGGGACTATTGCCTGTAGAAGGATATCATGCTCAGTACAGTGGAGAGTCAGCAAAATGGGGAAGACCCTCAATGAGATGGATTGACACAGTGGCTACAATGGTAAACTCAGGCATAGCAAAGATTGTGAGGCTGGCACGGGACCAGGCAATGATTTGTTCTGTTGTCCATAGGGTCACTATGAGTTGGAGCCGACCTAATGTCACCTAACAACAACAGACTGCGTATGCCAAATGTATTTTAAAATTAAAATTATAAATATTATTGTTTACAAAACTTAGGACGTAACACTGTGTGTATATGTTACACAGTTAAAAAGTACTTGATTGAATTCATCTGGGACTAGAGTTCCCATTGGTTGTTTAAAAGGACATTGTTGTTGTTGTTGTTGTTATGTGCCGTCGAGTCGACCCCCGACTCATAGTGACCCCTCCTTGGGTTTCCGAGGCAGTATCACTACGGAAGTAGGATTGCCCAACCTTCCTTCCGAGGAGTGGCTGGTGGGTTTGAACCGCCAGCCTTCTGGTTAGCAGTCAAGTGCTTTAGCCACTATGCTACCAGAGCTCCTTTAGCATATTATAAATTTGAGCATACCTTTGTTTTTGTATCAGGGCAAAGAACATTGCTACCTCTCCTCCTGATTGGTGTCGCTGGATCAGTAGATGTGGATGTACAAAAAGTTTCTCTCAAGATGGATCAGAAATCTGTTGTCTATTAATATAATCCATGCTTGTCCAGTAACTGCTCATGGTGGATCCAGTGACTATTAGGTGAGTGCAGCATGAGACTCAACAGCCCATCCTCACCTTTTGTTTGTTAGAAAGAAAGAGCATACTCCCAAGAGATCAGCCAAGATAAGGAGTTTTAATTACATGGGAGGGGACCATATGAGACAGATGTCAATGAAGGTGTTGAAATGGTAGGGGCTTCATGGATTAAACAACTTTGCAGATGGACACCTCGTAACCCTCCATGAACTTTATTCTGGTCAGAACATTTTTGTGCGCTGGAGCTGGTATTAATTTCGTTTAGTGTCCTGACAATTCTCTTCCACTATGACACTTACTTTTCCTTGTGTTCTGTCTGCTTGGCATGCATGGGTCTTTGCTTTGGACAACTGGTGTCCCTGTTTTGTTGATGTTCTAGACATATGCTTTGCTTGCTTATAGGGTAATCTGTCCCTGTTTACAAATGCAATTTTATAAGAATGACAGGAGATATCACAGTATAGTTCCAATTCTACTTTCTACTCCTTCAGAGTTTCAGTTTGAAAGACATGGCTGAAAGCTACCACAGTCAGAACAAAGTTATAACCTTTCCATGGTCTAATTTTATTAGAAAAAAATGTCTTGAGGGCAAAGGAGGACATTCTGCACTAAATAAGTAAGAAAGGTTGACATGACTAGCTTATAAACCATTCCTTACTAAGATGAAGTCAATATAAAAATGATACAGAGTAACGTGCTGAAAAAACATGAGTCTTATAAAGTGCATGGCTTATGGCTCTTTAATCAATCAAAAGGAATCCCAGGCAGCAACTTCATATATACTTGTGTTATTCACATAAGAAATGTTTACTAGAGATACTTGTACTGTCAGCAGGAAAGACTTCTGTTACAACTTGGCTTTAGAGTTTAGACCCCAAGGGATAAAGAATTAAAAGCAATTCCCCACCTGGCTCACACAGCTGGCCTGACTCAGAGTGCTGACTGCTCTCATGTAACTCTGGTTCCTGGAGCGGAATTTTGGGGAGTTATAGTTGGCAGAGGGATCCAGGTTGTGACCACCAGACACATCACTTGCAGCTTGCAGGTAGCTTGGGCTATATATAAAAATACAAAAATAGAAAGAAAGAAAGAGAAAAGTAGTTCATGAATAGCCACTGAAGTGCTATGGAAGAGAATGATTATTCAAACCAACACTAAGAGGCTGTTATAAAATCTCCAGCTGAATGTTTGTGTCTTAATGGAACACTGCCCTGTAAATATTCTGAAGGTTCACATTCATAAATGTGAATTTCATCAAAAGTAATTGGAGAGGCTATTTACGAAATTACAATGAAGCTTGACTTCTTATGGCCAGATAGTGAAATTAGTCTTGTTCTTCATTTAAAAAAAAAAGTATCGAAAGCACCAGTAACTGATAAATGATAGCGAACCCTGCACCTTAAATGTAAGACAAAACAAATCGATAGAAATCTCATAAAAATCATGTTAGCTTTTTTGCAACATTATATCCTTCAGAAAAATGAAAGCAAAGGTTTTAATTTATGCAAAGTTGTCAAGATTATGCAATATAAGCAAATAAATAGAATAAATTGAGAAATCAATTCCATTTTTCTCATAGCGATCCCAATTCAAAATTCCTTTAAAGTCTCCCTTGGTGTTAATTTTTAACATGTTAGAAGCACAGAAAAACCTTGAGAATGTTTAATTTAAATTCCTGGCTAATTGAATTCTTTTCATTTCAATTTTTGATAACAATCTTTGTACAATATAGTAAAAAAATTAATTCTAAATTAAAAATTGGAGTGATATACTCATAATTACTTCCGTAGTGATACTGCCTCGGAAACCCAAGGAGGGGTCGCTATGAGTCGGGATCGACTCGATGGCACATAACAACAACAACATTGTGTATAATAAAGAGCTCTGGTGGAGCAGTGGGTAGGGCATTTGGTTGCTAAACTAAAAGGTCAGTGGTTCTAACCCACCAGCTGCCCCACAGAAGAAAGATGAGGCAATCTGTTTCGATAAACATTTACAGCCTTGGAAACCCCATAGGGGTTGCTATGAGTCAGAAGTGACTCCATCACAGTGATTTTGGGTTTTTTATTTTTGCTATTATGTCTAATCAATAAAAATCCATTACCATTGAGTCAATTCAGACTCAAAGAGACCTTATAGAACAGAGTAGAACTGCCTCATAGGCTTTCCAAGGTTGTAATCTTTCCAGAAGGAGCTGTGGACACATAGTGCCTAAGGCATTTGACTGCTAACCAGGAGGCTGGTGGTTCAAACCCACCAGCCCCTCCTTAGAAGGAAGGTTGGGCGATCTACTTCTGTAGAGATACTGCCTCAGAAACCCAAGGAGGGGTCGCTATGATTTGGATCTGACTCGATGGCAGTGAGTTTGTTTTTTGCTTTTTAATCTTTCCAGAAGCAGACTGCCACCCCACCCTCACCCCCCATTCCCTGCCAGCACAGAGCTACTGGTCGGTTCAAACAACTGACCAGTTAGTAACTGAGTGTTTAACCACAGGACTCCTTGGCTGATAATTAGGAAGCTTAGATATCATTGCACAGTCCTGTATATAAAAATGTGTATAAATATTAGGTTGATAATTCTGACTCCATAGTTTGCCATTAAGTGTTCTTTCTTTTTAAAGTAATATTCTGATGTAATTTGTTTTCTTGTGATTTCCTTCAGTAAAAATGAGACAGAAGAGGAAAAAACAACTGGACTCAATTTTATAAGTTCTGATTCAGTAAACTCCATTAATTATATATTTAAAGTCATTTCTTCCACAAATAATTTTTATTTTAAACAACATGTTGCACATACTCCAGCTTCCATTTCTCTTTCTTCCACTCAAAACAAGCCAAAAAGAAAATGGGAAAGAAATTAGTTTTAAGCAAATTCTAATTTTGTTATCTAAGGAAGCATGTTAATCTATTTATACTGACTTCTTGTTACTCTGGCAAAGGTCAGGGAGGAGGGTAGCTCCCGCTGCAGCAGGGGAAGGGGATCTGCACAGTCGCCAGAAGAGGGAGCGCTCTCCTTTTCTCGCTGATGAATTCCCCAGTGAGTAAAAGGAGAAAAAACGGACTTGCAGCTATCTGATTATTTCCCGCACTGAGCAGACCAGATACTACGGGAGTAGAAAAATATCAATAGTATCCCTAAAATCTGACGAGTGTTTGGACTTGCTCATGGCCCTGCACGTAATTACAGTTTGCTTCATTAGCAGGTTTACTTGTGCATGTTTAATACGGTACCATATGCAAGGGGCATAAGCGTTAAAGGTAGATACACAGATCCACTTAGGTTCTTGGCTTATGTCACTTTGTTTTTGTAAGAGTGTAAAATGTCTGCTTTTCCTCTGTCCTAATTTTCCATAGTGCCTAAGGCATTTGACTGCTAACCAGAAGTCTGGCGGTTCAAACCCACTAGCCACTTCTCAGAAGAAAGGTTGGTCAGTCCACTTCCGTAGTGATACCCCCAAGGAGCGGTCACTATGAGTCAGGTTCGACTCGAGGGCACATAACAACAACAATAACAACAACAACAACAATTTTCCTGAAATCTTGGTTTTATACTTTGCATTTCTACCAATTAGTGCTTATACCTTATTTTTTCCAACATAATCACTAGCTTTTCTGATTAATAGCCCCCTTTTGTCATTTTAATATTTTCAAATTAAAGTTGCCCTCTAGGCTGTGAGCCTTAGAAAAAAAAGAAGACCCATGTCTTACCTTATATCCTTTATAATCTTTATCTTTATATCCACAATCTTTAACCCAGTGCCCGGTACTGTGAATGAAGGGGTATCCTCAAAAACTAGAGCTAATAACATTTTTGTTTACTGCTGTATGACACTGAAACATAATGTAATAAATTTTTGTGATTCTATGTTTCAAATATGTATTAGTGACTCTTTATTCCAACATTAGGCATGCCATTAAAAGTCACAATTGTAGAAATTGAATATGATTTTTTTCTTTTAAATATTGGATCATAATAGTTGACATTTATTGCAAGATATCATTTCTTCTAAACTTTCTGTTGGACAAACCTATTTAATCTTCACATTCAAACCAAACCAAACTCACTGCCATCTAGTTGACTCTGGCTCACAGCAACCTCCATTGGGTTTCCGAAGCTGTAAATCTTTACAGAAGTAGATCACCCCATCTTTCTCCCAAGAAGCAGCTGGTGGGTTTGAATTGCTGTTCATCTGGTTAGCAGCCAAAACCCTTTCCCTCAGAGTCCAATAGACTCATAGTGACTCTACAGGCAGAGTAGAACTGCCTCATAGTATTTCCAGGGCTGCATATCTTTATGGAAGGAGACTACCTCATATTTCTTCCACCTAGTGGCTGAAGTGTTCCAACCTCTGGCCTTTTGGTTGACAGCTGAATGCTTTAACCACTATGCCACCACAACTCCTTAATCTTATGAGGTGGTTGTTGTTGTTAGGTGCCGTCGAGCAGCTCCAACTCATAGTGACCCTCTAAGGTAGGTCTATTAATAATCCTCATTATACAGATGAGGAAACTGAAACATAGATATTAAGTCACATGCCCAGGGTCACACAGAGGAAATGGCAGAACTAAAGTCTAAACCCAGGCAGTGTGGCTCCAGGAAAGGAAGTGGGAGCTGGCAGTGGGCTGGAACAGCTAGGGAGGTCAGGAAGTAAGCAGAGAAGTTTGGAACAACAAAGGGAGATGGACCTGTCTGTGAGTTTGTCTTACTGTGGTGGCTTGTGTGTTGCTGTGAGGCTAGAGGCTATGCCACTGATATTTCAAATGCCAACAGGGTTACCATGGTGGACAGGATTCAGCAGAGCTTCCAGAAAGACACTTGGAAGAAGGAAGAGGCCATCCACCTCTCAAAGAATTGGCCAGTGAAAATCTTATGACTAGCAGTGAAACACTGTCTGATATATTACTGGAAAACTTTATGAATAGCCCTGAAACATTATCCAATATAGTGCCAGATGATGAGCCTCTCAAGTCTGAAGGCCCTCAAAAAAAGATTGGGAAACAGCTGCCTCCTCACAGTCCAGAAACCAAACTCACTACCATCAAGTTGGATCTGACTCATAGTGATCCCTCCTTGGGATTCTGAGATGGTATCACTATGGAAGAGGATTGCCTAACCTTCCTTCTGAGGAGTGGCTGGTGGCTTTGAACTGCCAGCCTTCTGGTTATCAGTCAAATGCGTTAAGCACTATGCCACCACAGCTCTCGTAGTTGTTATTGTTGTTATGTGCCGTCGAGTCGGCCCCGACTCATAGCGACCCCTCCTTGGGTTTCCGAGGCAGTATCACTATGGAAGTAGGATTGCCCAACCTTCCTTCCGAGGAGTGGCTGGTGGGTTTGAACCGCCAGCCGTCTGTTTAGCAGGCAAGTGTCTTAGCCACTATGCTACCAGAGCTCCCGTAGAGCCAACCTTAATGATGTGGATAGAGTAAACTTTTGGGACCTCCATTTGCTGATGTGGCACTACTCAAGATGAGAGGAAACAGCTGCAAACACCCATTAATAATCAGAAAGTTGAATGTACAAAATATGAATGTAGGAAATTTAGAAGTGGTTAAAAATGAAATGGAATGCATAAAGATTGATGTCTTAGGCATTAGTGAGCTGAAATGGACTGGTTGGGCCATTTTGAATCAGATCTACTATGACAGGAATGACAAACTGAAGAGGAATGGTGTGGCATTCATCATCACAAAGAATGTTTCAAGATCGGTCTTAAAGCACAATGCTGCCACTGTATGCCTACAAAGAAGGCCAGTTAATACTATTATTATTCAAATTTACACACCAACCACCAAAGCCAAAGATGAAGAAATTGAAGATTTTTATCAACATCTGCAGTCTGAAATTGACTGAACATGCAATCAAGATGTATTGATTATCAGGGGTGATTGGAATGCAAAAGTTGGAAACAAAGAAGAATCACCAGTGGTTGGAAAATATGGCCTTGGTGATAGAAATAATGCTGGACATTGCATGATAGAATTTTGCAGGCCCAATGACTTATTCATTCCAAATACCTTTTTTCAACAACACCAGCAGTGGCTATACATGTGGA